ACACTTTCTGACTGAAAGTGAAGGGATGGAAAAGGATACCCTATGCAAATAGCAGTGAAAAGAAAGCTGGGGTAGCAATACTCATATCAGACAAAATAGACATTAAAACAAAAATGTAATAAGAGACAAGAGGGGCACTACATAATGATAAAGAGAACAATCCAAAAGAGGACATAATGCTTCTAAATATCTAGGCACCCAACGTAAGAGCACCTAAATATAGAAAGCAATTATTGACAGACATAGAAGCAGAAATTGACAGTAACACAATCATAGTAGGGGACATTGACACTCCACTTAGATCAATGGATAGTTCATCCAGACAGGTGATCAGTAAGGAAATATTGGACTTAAATGACACATTAGACCAGGTGGACTTAGATATATGCAGAACATTTCATCCAAAAACCACAGAATACAAATTCTTTTCAAATGCGCATGTAACATCCTCAAGGATAGATCGCACATTAGGCCACAAAACAAGTCTCAATAAATTTGAGAAGTTGAAATAGTACTAAACATCTTTTGTGACCACAATAGTATGAAACTAGAAATCAACTACAAGAAGAAGACTGGAAAAGCCACAAATATGTGGAGATTAAAGAAAATGCTACTGAACAACGGTTGGGTCAACAAAGAAACCAAAGGAGAAACCAAAAAATACCTGGAGACAAATAAAAATGAAAACGCAAGATACCAAAATTTATGAGATACAGCAAAAGCAGTACTAAGAGGGAAGTTTATAGAAATACAGGTCTACCTCAAGAAACAGGAAAAATCTCAAATAAACAATCTAACAAGACATCTAAAGGAACTGGAAAAAGAAGAACAAACAAACCCAGCATCAGTAGAAGAAAGGAAATAATAAAAATGATGGTGGAAATAAAGGAAATAGAGACTAAAAAGACAGTAGAAAAAAATGAAACTAAGACCTGGCTTTGAAAACATAAACAAGATTTAAAAACCTTTAGCTAGACTCACCAAGGAAAAAAGAGAGAAGGCTCAAATAAATAAAATCAGAAATGACAGGGGAGAAGTTACAACAGGCACCACAGAAACACAAAGGATTACAGGAGAATACTACAAAAAGCTATATGCCAACAAATTAGATAATCTAGAAGAAATAAATAAATTCTTAGAATCATACAAACTTCCAAAACTAAAGTCAAGAGGAAATAGAGAATCCGAATAGACAGATCACTAACAAGGAGATCAAAACATAATCAAAAACCTCCCAAAAAACAAAAGGCCAGGACCAGATGGTTTCCCTGGTGATTTCTACCAAACACTCAAAGAAGACTTAATACCCATCCTTCTCAAACTCTTAAAAATCAAAGAGGATGGGATGCTTCCTAATTCCTTCTATGAGGCCAGCATTACCTTGATACCAAAACCAGACAAGGATAACATGAAAAAAGAAAATTACAGGCCAATATCACTGATGAATATAGATGCAAAAATCTTCAACAAAATACTAGCAAATCGAATCCAACAGTACGTTAAAAAGATCATACACTATGACCAAGTGGGATTTATTCCAGGGATGCAGGGATGGTTCAACATCTGCAAATCAATCCACATGATACACCACATTAACAAAATGACAAAAATCACATGATCATCTCAGTAGACACAGAGAAAGCATTTGACAAGATTCAACATCCATTTATGATAAAAACTCAGAATAAAATGGGTATAGAAGGAAAATAACATAATAAAGGCCATATATTGACAAACCTACAGCTAACATCTTACTCACTGGTGAAAAACTGAAAGCTATTCCTCCAAGAACAGGGACAAGACAAGGATGTCCACTTTCATCACTCTTGTTCGACATAGTATTGGAAGTCCTAGCCAGAGGAATCAGACAATAAAAAGAAATAAAAGGAATCCAAATTGGAAAGGAAGAAGTAAAACGGTCACTCTTCGCAGGCGACATTATTTTATATATAGAAAACAAAGAATCCATCAAAAACCTATTAAATGAATACAGTAAAATTACACAGTACAAAAATCAACATGCAAAAATCAGTTGTGTTTCTATACACCAACAACAAAATATCAGAAAGAGAAATTAAGAATACAACCCATTTACAATTGCAACAAAAAGAATAAAATACCTAGGAATAAATTTGACCAAAAACTTGAAAGACCTGTACACTGAAAACTGTAACACATTGTTGAAAGAAATCAAACGAGGCACAAAGAAATGGAAAGATATTCTGTGCTCATGGATTGAAAGAATTAGCGTAATGAAAATGTCTGTACTTCCTACAGCAATCTACAGATTCAGTGCAATTTCTATCAGAGTCATGACATTTTTCACAGAATTAGAACAAAGAATTCTAAAATTTATATGGAACAATGAAGGACCCAAAATAGTCAAATCAATCCTGAGAAAGAACAAAGCTGGACATATCACACTCCCTGGCTTCAAAATATGCTACAAATGTATAGTAATCAAACAGCATGGTACTGCAGTAAAACAGACACACAGGTCAATGGAACAGACTTGAGAGCCCAGAAATAAACCCACACATCTATGGACAGCTAATTTTCGACAAAGGAGCCAAGAACTTACAATGGAGAAAGGAATGTCTCTTCAACAAATGGTGTTGGGAAAACTGGACAGCCACATGCAAAAGAATGAAAGTAGACCATTATCTTACACCATACAGAAAAATTCACTCAAAATTGATTAAAGACTTGAATGTAAGACCTGGAACCATTAAATTTCTAGAAGAAAACATAGGCAGGACACTCTTCAACATCAGTCTTAGCAGCATATTTTCAAATACCATGTTTGACTGGTCAAGGGAAATAATAGAAACAATAAACAAATGGGACTACATCAAACTAAAAACTTTCTGCACAACAAAGGAAACTATCAACAAGACAAAAAGATAACCCAACAATTGGGAGAAGATATTTTCAAATCATATATCTGGTAAGGGGTTAATATCCAAAATGTACAAAGAACTCATACATCTCAACAACAGAGAAACTAACAACCCAATTGAAAAATGGCAAAAGATCTGAACAGACATTTCTCCAAAGAAGATATATGGATGGCCAACAGGCACATGAAAAGATGTTCAACATCATTAACTATCAGGGAAATGCAAATCAAAACTACAATGAGGGGCCGGCCTGGTGGTGCAGCAGTTAAGTTTGCACGTTCTGCTTCGGGAGCTCAGGGTTCACAGGTTCAGATCCCAGGTGTGGACATGGCACTGCTTGGCAAACTATGCTGTGGTAGGCGTCCCACATATAAAAAGGTAGAGGAAGATGGGCACGGATGTTAGCTCAGGGCCAGTCTTCCTCAGCAAAAAGAGGAGGATTGGCAGATGTTAGCTCAGGGCAAATCTTCCTAAAAAAAAAACTACAATGAGATATCACCTCACTCTGGTCAGAATGGCTATAATTAACAAGACAAAAAATAACAAACGTTGGAGACGATGTGAAGAAAAGGGAGTTCTCATACACTGCTGGTGGGAGTGCAAACTGGTGCAGCCACTATGGAAAACAGAATGGAGATTTCTCAAAAAATTAAAAAGAGAAATACTGTATGATCCAGTTATTCCACTTCTGAGTATCTATCCAAAGAACACAAAAACACTAGTCGACAAGATATTTGCACCCCTATATTCATTGCAGCATTATTCACAATAGCCAAGACTTGGAAACAATCTAACTGCCCATCCATGGATGAGTGTATAAAGAAGATGTGGTATATATACACAATGGAATACTACTCAGCCATAATAAAGGATGAAATCTTGCCACTTGTGAAAACATGGGTGGACCTTGAGGGCATTATTCTAAGTGAAATAAGTCAGACAGAGAAAGTCCAATACCATATGATCTCATTCATAACTGGAAGATAAAAACAACAACAACAATAGCAACAAACAAAAACATAGATACAGAGATTAGATCGCTGGTTACCAGAGGGGAAGAGGGAGGGAGGAGGGAGAAAGGGATGTGTATGGTGACAGATGGTAGTTGTTCTTTGGGTGGTGAACATGATGTAGTCTGCACAGAAAGCACAATATAATGATGTACACCTGAAACTTATGTAATGTTATAAACCAATGTTACCTCAATAAAAAACTTCTAAAAATTAAAAATGTATTTCAAAGCCAAAAAAAAAGAAGTCCTTCCAAACAGAGGAAGCAGCCAGTGCAAATGCCCTGAGGCGCATGGGCTTGATGAATGGCAAGGCCGGAAATGAAATACCATCTTCATCAATACAGTGGTCAAGATGCTCACATGATACTCACTGTCACCCCATATGGGGTCTAGGGGACAGATGCATACCAGCCCTGTCAATCCGAATGTTAACTGTCAGACCAGATGTTAACAAGAGCACCAATTCCAGAAGCAGCTGTTGTCCTGTGTCTGGGTCCACAGATACAGAGCTCTCTTCTGATGGTGATGAATGAATGAATGAGCGCTGCAAATCAGGCTCGCTAATATGAAGAGACTTTGGGTCATTTCTCTGACTCAAGAGGGCTTTGGGATCTGGTAATACTAAGCCACAGAAATCTGCTTTGGGGGCCACTGTGGAGGGATGGGGAAAGGTCTCTTTGGCATTTCAGGAGCGCTCATAGGTAAGAAGTTGCTTCAACCTCTTACTAACTCTGTGAACTTGTCCTAATTTCTTAAATTCTCCAAGCCTTCCCTTTCTTATCTCAAAAATAGGGATGAAATAATAAAACTCCACTGTCTAAATAATGCAGATATGAAGAATGCTGGGTCAGTTTTTGGCAAGGCTAAGTGAATGTCCAGCTGAGTCCAATAGCCCAAAGACCAGAGGTCCTAGAGTCTCATTGCCAGATCCAATCCGGGGCTGCCTACCAGTTGGCTGCTCCTGGTGGTAGGGGCCCACTCCAGCATCAGTATAGAAGGCATGGCTCTGGCTCCTCAGGTGTCTGGGATGGACATCAGGAGAACAGCAGTGCGATCTTCTGTGCTAACTGATGCCTGTCTCCTCTCAGTGCTTGACTGGGAAGATACAGGAGACAAGGAGCCCACCCTTTGCCTCCCCGTTCTGGAGAAGAGCTTATCTGCTGGGTCCTCACCTTGCTCTATCCTCCCTCGCAATTGGAAAGAGAACAACCTTAGCTCTCACCCCAGGAAAGTCGCCCATCACCCATGGCATTATAGTCCAACTTGTGATGTCTCAGCCTGTGTTCTTATGGGGCTTTACTCTGAAGAGTCAATCAGGTACAGTGTGTGAAAGCACCCAGCATGGAAAATGAATGTGGAGCTCTTGGGAAAGAAGGGAGAGAAACTTAAAAAAGAGGGAAAGAAGATAAGACAGGGTCTGAAGTTGGAACATGCCTGGAAGGAGGTGGTAACCGGGAGATGGAGCCCTGGCATCGGGGTTGATGGAAGGCATAGGGAGAGGCGAGTGGTCAGCAGTTAGAAAGTCCCCAGAGCCCTGGGGCCCCACAGCTGGCACCTTCTCCTCCTAAAAAGGAGGGCGACTGGCCCCTCTCAGCATCAGAACAGACCCTACAGCTGGGCGGGAAGAAGGGTGAGGAGGACAAGGGCCCACCCCTCCTGGCTTCTGTCATACCTCCCTCTCAAGCCAGAAGATGGCAGCTTGTCAACTATTATCCTGGAGGTGATGCAGCTACAGGGAGGGTGCCTACACAGGAAGGACAGGCTGGTCCCGGAGGATGTTGTTAGTTCCCGCGATGGGCCTCAGCCTCCCGGTATACTTGGAGAGCTTTCCTTCCTAGGCCTAGTTTGTGCGTAAAGACGTCATGGTCTCTAACCTGTGCCTCAGAATGAGTGCACAGTACAAAAGAGAAGGCAGTTAATGAGGAGGCTTTATTCTGGAGGAGATTGGTTTGCATTCAGGTCCCATCTTTTGTTGGACTGGACCATGTGACCCAGTGATCAGTGTGACAGCCCTCTCCTCAGTCTCCCTGCAGGTCAACCAGGCCAGGGGGCAGGAGCCTGACCTCCCCCACCCCCCCAGGTGTCACGGTTCATCAGAGACAGACATGTAATGAAAAGGTCTCAGAGCTCAGGCTCCATGCTAGAGCAGGAGCATTATGACTGCAGGGTCCCTAAGACAGGCTGGGCAGGAACAGTCATGTTTGTTGGAAATGAGATTGAGGGGCTTTGTGGAGGAGGTAAGGCTTGAGGTGAGTCTTAAGAGGTGAGTAGGAGTTCACCAGGCAGGAAGACTCGAGGAAGGGCACTCCAAAGAGAGAGAACAACCTACGTAAAACCTTAGAAATGGGAACCTTAGTGCTTCTGAGAAAGACTTTTATCTGATTGCCTGCCTCCTAAGCCCCTAGCGCACAGCCTTGCGAGAAGCCTACCTATTCTCCATTAATAGTCCAGGCTCTCAATTTGCCTTCATGCTTCCAAGAGAGCTTCTGGAGCTCCAGCCATCACATCCGTATTCCAGGCAGAAAGAGGCAGGAAAAAGGCAAAAGGGCTTTCTACAAAACACTGCCCAACAGTTCCCGTCTACATTCCATTGGCCAGAATTGATTTACATGGCCATCTTGTTCAGCAATGGAGACTGGGAAATGTCATTTTACAGCTGAGCACATTGCCTCTCCCAGCAAAATCACATCTCTTGTTATTAAGGAAGACAGGAAGCGTGTGCCTGGCACCCCAACCACCATTAGACATTGCCAGCCCCATTTAGAGACGGGAAAACAGTTCCCAAGGGGCTGAGTGACTTGCCTGAGGTCAGAGACAGGGTAGGATCCCAGCCCTTCCCCCTCACATTGAGTGAATGACATTTAGCGCTTTTCTAAGAGGCCCTGATCAACCTTCAGGGCCTAAGAATCCGGCAGAGGGAAAGGCATAACAGACAAACGTGGAGAGAAGAATTGTGTCTGTGTGTCTTGGAGCAGTCTGATGGCATGCTCATGGCCTTGGCTGGGCTGTGCCCAGGGTCCAGGGGCAGGCCTGAGGAGGCTCCATGGCAGAGAGGGATGGGGAGCTCTGCAAACAGGCAGCTCGTGCGTCTGGAAGCACTCTTTTCCCCTGTCCTCACATCCTCTCGGTCCCCTCTCCCACCAGCCTCCTGAGTTTGCTGTAAAGATTTTTCTGTGCACGCTGTTCTGTGTGGAACACAGTGCCCTTGCCATCAGATCAGCATCACCATGCTTGTCAGGAGCATTAGCTCTCTTATTGGTGTGGGCCGGGGTTGGGACAGGTGTTAGGAGAAAAACAAATCCCACAGCAGAGTAGTCCATTGTTAGATGTGAAGCCTGAGCACTTACAGCATCTCCTATTGAATAAAGGATAAATTCGACTTAATAAGGGCAAAGAGCTTTAGCATCCAGGGCCCCAAGGCCCCCTGCATCATCCTCTGTCCCCCTGGGTGGTCCCCACTCTGGGAAGATAGCATGGATGTCATTCCTCTCCATCCTGTTCTCTTTGGCTTCTCCTTGGTTCCATTTTAAATCTAGCTGTGACATTATTGGTTTGACAACTGCTCAGACACAACACCTCCCTCAGCCGCAAGCTTCTGCCAGAGGGCACGCACTCCCTCATCCAGGAAAGCCCTTTGCTCCCTGTCCCTCTGCAGCTTCCTGTGCAGGCTGGCCTAACAGCTGGGTGTGGCCACTGGCAAGTCGATGGTAAGGGACCATAGGAAAGAGCGACAAAGAGGGACACATAAGAACCTTGACAGCAGACATAAGAACTGGGGGACCGCAGCAGCAAGGACAAGGGCGCCTGCACAGGAGGGGGCCGAGGGGGCCGAGAGCACAGCAGCAGCAGCAGCAGCAGCATTGCCTGTATTCTTAGATCACTCTGTATGCACAGTATGGTCATTAACTGGTGTGTCACCACACGTGTCATTTACACAGCTCTTCACATCCGCTGCCTTGATCCAATCCTTGCTGCACCCCTGGATGCACTGTCTGTATTCCACAGAGGAAAATGCTGAGGTTTGAAGCCCGCCCAGGACTTGCACTTGTCTCTGCTGCCTCCTGAGTCTGCCCACCTTCCCCTGTGGATGAGATTCTAACATGGCCCCCAGCCTCGCGGAAAACTGCTCAACACATCTGGGTGGTGGCAGGGGAATGGTGCGCACAATTCAGGAGACTCACCACGACTTCTGGGTGCCGGTGTGCTCACCAGCCAAATCTGCTCACTCTTTCAGTGTTTTTATTGCAGGTCGTCCACCTGGGCGAGTGTACTACTTTCTTGTGGCTGCTGTAACAAATCTCCACAAATGTAGTGACTTAAAACAACACAAGTTTATTTTCTCACAGTTCTGGTGGCCAGAAGTGTGAAATGGGTTTCCCTGAGCAGAAATCAAGTTGTCACCAGGGCCACACTCCTTCCTGAGATTCTGGGGAGAGTCCCTTTCCTGTCTTTTCCACTCTTAGAGTGGCATTCCCATTGTTCCCTGGCTCCTTCCTCTGACTGAAGGCCAGCGGGGCGGCTCCTTAAGTCTCTCTCCCCTCCCACGGTCTCATCGCCTTCTCCGCGTCTGGAGCAAATCTCCCTCTGCCTCCTCTCACAGGACCCTTGTGAGCACCTGTAGGACTCACCCAGGTGACCCAGGATAATCTCCCCATCTCAGGATCCTTGATGAAGCCACATCTGCCAAGGCCCTTTTGCGATGTAACCTCAACACCCACAGGTCCAAGGATTAGGACCTGGATGTCTTTGGTGGCCGTTATTCAAGTGACCATAGCAAACCACTGAAGTAGAAGCTCCTTTGGGAGCAGGGATTGTCCTGTTCTGCACCTTGCACTTGTGTGACACATAATGAGCAGAGGGGCATGAAGGCATGAAGGGGTGAGTGTACATGGCACAGGGGTGTGCAAGGGCCACACTAAGGAAGGGCCAGGCCCAGCGGCCTTTGCTCAGCCTGTGCACCTAAAAGCCTGGCTGTCCTGGTGTGCCAGTGGGTTTGTTTGGGTGAAAGGCACACTCTGTGGTGTTTGAGGAACCTCCCACTGGAAGCAAACTGGGGGTCTTGGAAGGGCCGCCGTGGTCTCCCTCCTTTTGGGTGTGCTCCTTCATGGAGCCTGGAGGCCCTTTCTTACTTGCTGACTGCATCCCGTGGAGCTGGAGTAGTCAGAGATGCTGCGAGCTGGTCAGTGTGCCCAGGCCACCCTCCCTGGCACATCCGGGCCCTTCAGCTGGGAGTCCTCAGCTAAGGCAGAGCTGGGGTGAGGCGGAGATGACAGGCAAACCAGGGGTGGTTGGTACTACAGAGATTTTGCTGTCATAAAGGGCCTGCATCATTCTCTTCCCAAAATAAGAAGGCCCATGGGTGCTGCTGCCTCCACAGCCTGTCACCCATCCGAGGGTGCCCCCACCCACCTTTGCCTTGGGGACCCGGAGCCCAGCCTGAGGACTGTGTTGAGGGCTCATCCCTTCAGCACACGCTCACCGACAGAGCCTGGGCAACGCTGGGGCTCATGCGGCAGTCAGGCCTCTTCCTTTCCCCAAGGATCCCAGTTTAGGGGGGGAGAGGAAACATTTAACACCAGAGCAAAAGGAGTCCAGACTCAGAAAACTGGGAAGGCAGGGCAGACTTCTGAGGCTTGAACAGAGTCTCAAAATAGTCATCCACACTAGAGGTCAGCACCCCGGAAAAGCAAGGGCATCGATAAAGGTCCACCCTGTGGGTCCAGACGGGTCCTGAGCCTGATTCTCTTGAGCCACAAAAACTGCAGCCTTCTGGTCCCCATTCCAGTGTCTTCTCAGTGACCTTCTCTCTCTTCCCTTCCCTGCAGGGGAGGTGCATCAACTTCACCCTAGTTCAGCCGCCCTGCGTGCAGATGCCCTGTGGCTCAAATATCTGCCTTCAACCCAGCCAGGAGAGCATCCCCCTCAACAGCTGCTGCTCACGGTGCCAACACCCCCCAGTCATCTGCTCCCGGCCTGCCTCCAGGATGCTGTCGCTGATCCCCCCCCATGCCCAGGCACTCTGCAGAACTACTTTGTCACTCCCACCCCCATAGTTTGAGCTCTAAAGCACCAGAAACCCAAGATTGTTAAGAGCCCCTTGTGTACTGAATTGTACATATATATTGAGTCTTGGTTTACAGTCAAAAGGAGTTGGAATTTGTTGCTGATCAGCAAGAGAGTTTGGTACCCGGTGAGCATTGCCCCACTGTGTGAGACCTATCTATACTGCTCCTGCTGGGACAAAGCACCCTAGTGTCCTGTGGATGCAGACGTGGATGCGTCCCACTCCCCATAGCCTGGTCTTCATCTCTCACCAAGGGCTGGGGTGCGTGGGGTTTTAGCCAAATGCTGGTCTTTGAAAAGGCCAAAAACAACTTTGAAATGTGAATATAATCCTGTGTCTGTCACTCACTGGCTGTTACTTAATCTCTTGGGCAAGTTATTAATCTTCCTATGCTTCAGATTCCTCATTGAAAAGATGGGAATAATCATGTCTCCTCTACAAGGTGCCATGAGGGTGATGGTAAGTGCTGCAGTGTGCTCACCTCAGGGCCAGGTCCCAGGTAAAGACTCAGGTGCCCAATAGTTAAGGTCTTCCATTGCTGCCTGGGAGAAAAGAGGAAGATGAGCTCAGAGACATCAAGAAATGTCTGGTGAGCTCAGGGGAGTTAGAGAGGAGACCATGCCTGGACCTTTCAGCTCTGGACACCAGGGTATAGGGTTGGCACAGATAAGCATCCTTTGTAACGAAGCTGCTGACCACATGTGAGTTCACTCCCGGGCCCACCACCCACGTAACCTCCAGACACCACTGGTAAAGGCCCTGGCACCTACTACCTCCTTCAGAAATGTTAGTTCCCTTCCTGTCCCCTCAATATTTCTCATGCTATAAAGGAAATCCTAGGTGCCCACTTTCCTGAGCTTTCAGATCTGCTCCTCTCTTGACGGAGCCAGAACTCCCAATCTTTCAGATCCTTTCCCCCCGCATCTTGGAAGACCTGATCAAGTTTTCCTTCCATACTAACATGCTAGAGTACTACACATAGACAAGACTCCATTGTGAAATCCCAGGATGCAGGTGTAAGCCTGAAGCATCACCCTGGACCACCGAGTCTGAGAAGGAAAGAGGTGGCTGCTTACTCAAATGTGCACATACCAATGCAATGAATCAGGAATCGTGAAGAATCACGTACACAATATGATGAAAAGAAACAAAAATGCTGCAATTACTGACCCTAAAGAAATAGAGATCTATGAACTGTCTGACAAAGAATTCAGAATAATACTGTTAAAGAAATTTAGTCAACTACAAGAACACACAGACAGAGAACTAAATGAAATCAGGAAAACAATGCATGAACAAAATGAGAAGTTCTACAAGGAAACAGAAACCATCAAAAGAACAAATAGAAAGCTAGAGCTGAAGAATACAATGGCTTTACTGAAGAATATAAGAGAGTGATTCAGCATCACACTTGAACAAGCAGAAGAAAGAATCAGTGAACTAAAAGATAGGTCATTTTAAATTATCCTGTCAGAGGAGCAAAAAGAAAAAAGAATTAAAGAGAGTGAAGAAAGACTATGGGACATTGTCAACAGAAATAATATATGAGTTATGAGAATCCCAGAATGTGAAAAGAAAAAGGTATGGAAAGTATAATCAAAGCAAAAGGGTTGAAAACTTACCAAATGTGGAGAGAGAAATGGACACCCAGATTCATGAGGCCCAGAGGACCCCTAATATGTTGAACTTGAAAAAGCTATATGAGAGACATTATATGTAAATTGTCTAAAGACAAAGACCGAGGGAATTTTGAAAGCAGTGAGAAAAGTGAGTTGTCACATACAGGGAACCCTGTAAGACTTAGAGAGGGTTTCTCAACAGAAACTCTGCAGGCCGGGAGAGAAAGAGATGAAACATTCAAATAGTGAGAGGGAAAAAAACCTGTCAACCAAGAATACTATGCCCAGCAAGGCTGTTCTTCAGAAATGAAGGAGAGATAAAATCAGACCTAAACAAAATCTGAGGCAGTAGGACCTGCCTACAAGAACTGCTAAAGGATATTCATCAAGTTGAAATGTATAATGATTAACATCATGAAAACATAAGAATGTATTTGTAAAACACACTGGTAATGGCAAATATATTGTCAAAGTCAGATTCTCTAATATTGTATGGGTGGTTCATAATTCACTTAGAACTTTAGTTAAAATGTTTAAAAAATCTATTAAACAACTATAAAAACAATAATTTGTTATTGGATACATAATATTAAAAATATGTAAATTGTAATATCAATAATCTAAAATGTGAAGGGAGGAGAGGTAAAAGTATAAATTAGTGTATGGTATCAGTTTTAAGTGGTTATTAGCTTAAAATAGGATGTTATAAATATAAGATATTTTAGGTAAGCCTCATGGTAACCACAAAGCAAAAATCTTTCATAGAGATAAGAAAGACTATGAAAAAGAAATCCAAGCATACTCCTTCAGAAAGTTATCAGATAACAAAAGACAGCAAGATAAGAAGCAAAGAACGAGTCTAGAAAATAGTTGAAAAATTTAACAAAATGGCAGTAGTATGTCCTTACCTATCAATAACTACCTTTAACATAAGAGAATTAAATTCTTTGATCAAAAGACATAGAATGGATGAATGGATGAAAAAATAAGATCCAACAGTATCCAGCCTACAAGAAGCTCACTTTATCTTTACAGACTTATGTAGATTGACAGTGAAAGGATACAAAAAGATACTATAAGCAAATGTTCACCAAAAGAAAGCATTGATAGCTATACCTATTTCAGATAAAATAGACATTAAGCTAGAAATGGTCAAGAGACAAGGAAGGTCATTATATAATGATAAAGAGGTCAATTCATCAAGAAGATAGAGCAATTATACATATTTGTGCACCCAACATTGGAGCACCTAAATGTATAAAGCTATTAATAACAGAATAAAAGGAGAAATAAAGAGCAATACAATAATAGTGGGAACTTTAATACCCACTCTCAACAATGGAAAGATTACCGAGACAGAGATTCAATAAGGAAACAGCGGATTGAGACAACATTCTAGACCAAATGAGACCTAAGAGACATACATTCCATTCCATCCAACAGCAGCAGAATACACATTTTTCTTAAGTACCTATGGAACATTTTCTAGGATAAATCGTATGTCAGGCCACAAAACAAGTCTTAATGAATTTAAGAAGATTGAAATCATACCAAGTATCTTTTCCAACCACAGTGGTATGAAACCAGAAATGAATAACATGAGGAAAGCTGGAATATGCTCAAATACATGAAAATTAAAAACCACACTCTGGAACAACCAATGGATCGAGAAGAAATCTAAAGGAAAAGAAATATCTTAAAAACGAAAATGGAAGACAGTATACCAAAACATATAAGATACAGCAAAACCAGTTCTAAGAAGGACGTTTACAGCCATAAACACATACATCAAGAAAAAAGAAATATGTCAAATGAACAACCTTACTTTACACCTCAAGAAACTATGAAAAACACTAAGTAAAAAGTTAGCAGAAGGAAGGAAATAATAAAGATTGGGGCAGAAATAGAGAACAAGAAAGCAATAGAAAAGATTAACAAAACCTAGAGTTGGTTCTTTGAAAAGATAAAAAATTAACAAACTGTTAGCTAGACTAACCAAGTAAAAAGAAAGAGTGCCAAAATCAATAAAATGATAAATGAAAGTGGAGTCATTACAACTGATACCACAGAAATATAAAGGATCTTAAGTATCTGCAATCAAAAATATATGCCAACAAATTGGACAATCTAGAAGAGATGGAAAAATTTCCAGAAAACACAACCTACCAAGACTGAATCATGAAGGAATAGAAAACCTGAACAGACCAATAAGAAGTAAGGAGATTCAATCAGTAATCAAAAACTTCCCAACAAAGAATAGCCCAGAACCAGATGGTTTCACTGATGAGTTCTGCAAACACTTAAAGGAGAATTAACGCCAATCCTTCTCAAACTCTTCCGAAAATTGAAGAGGAGGAAATACTCCCAAACTCATTTTACAAGGCTGGCGTTATCCTGATACCAAAGCCATATAAGGACACTACAAAAAGAGGAAATTACAGACCAATATCCCTGGTGAATAGAGATACAAAAAATTGCAACAAAACAATAGCAAACCAAATTCAGCAGCCCATTAAAGGGAAAATACACCATGATCAAATGGGATTCATTGCTGGAATGCAAGGATGGTTTGATGTACACAAATCAATAAATAAGAAACATCACATTAATGGAATGAAAGAAGAAAATCATGATCATCTCAATAGATGCAGAAAAGTCATTTGACAAAAATCAACATTTATTCATGATAAAAACTCTCAACAATCTGGGTATGGAATGACCACATCTCAGCATAATGACAAGGCTCCAGCTGTCATCATCCTTGATGGTCAAAGGTTGAAAGCTTTTCCTCTAAGATCAGGAACAAGACAAGCTATCCCATTCTCACCACTTCTATTTATCATAGTACTGGAAGTCCTAGCCAGAACAATAAGTCAAGAGAAATAAATAAAAGGCATCTGAATTGGGAAAGAAAACAGTAAAATTGTCTCTCTTTGCAGATGACTGCATATATATAAAATCTTAAAGTCTCTACCAAAAAAACTATTAGCATTGATCAGCAAATTCAGTAAAGTTGCAGAATACAAAATCAACTTACAAAATTACTATTGTTTCCATATACTAACAATGAATTATCTGAAAAAGAAATAAAGACAGCAATCCTATTTACAATAGTACCA